AATTATAAAGCTTCCAGCCTATCGATCTAGTATGGCTGAATGAGGTCGAGGACTGCTTTCAGCTCGATATCAACGTATATAGAATGAATATAGCTTCCAAAATTGTAATATGCATTCGTGGTCATACAAAAGACATCAAACCATGGCTGTTCTATCACACGAGAGTTACGCTCTCTACATCAAGAGCATCGGTATGCTTCCGTCTAAGTATCAGTGTATCGATTGTGAAATGCTTCTCATGGGCGGTGAATGACTTAATCATCACACGAAAAATGAGTGACAGCTTGTGAATATTGAGAGCTTCCACGCTGAGCTTACTATCTACAAGCCCGCGCCTAACACGATTTGATCACAATTTATAAAAATATTACATTAAGGATACTGACCATTACATCGATTACTTGTTCGTTTTTAACTTTGAGGCAATTCTTAAGCCTGCTGCGAGTCAACACGATAAAAATACCGTCTTCACAAACAGACACATTTTCCTGTGTCGGTATCAGTAGCTGATAGATTATCCGAGGCGGTGCGCTGCTTTGTAAATGGCGATCCGAAGATGCTACTTACAGATATGTTTTATTTCATCAGTGATGCATCGATAGCAACATAGCAGCTCAGTGTCAAATAGTGTATGCTTCCTCTATAAAAATCATCAGTGCTCATTAAATGAGCGCTACGAATATTCAAGGAGTAAATCTCAACAAGACCTACAAAATTTGGTGTGGAGAGTTGGGCGGAAAAGGAAGAGTATACCAGCTTCTTTGTTTTTCACCGCAGTCTAAGTTTGAGTTTGCAAAGGTCTGATTATGGATACTGAAACAGCGGTTCGACTAGTACCAGTATCTCGGCTTCAATTCGAGTCGAAATGATATTAACTAAATAGAGAAGGATTTGCTTTGCCGTAATTAGCACCGACAACATCAAACCTGTCATCCGGGATTCCAGCTTCTACATTGGAACATGAAATTAATTTAATATTCCTGATATATACCAGCTGGTACCAGCTGTGACAAGTATCGGACAACATTTCTTGGTCGCTGCAAATGCGATAAGAAGTGTATGTGGTCTTGGTAAGGGTACTTCCCGGCGAGAGTACATCACCGCTGTTCTTAACCAAACTACTAATCCGCCTAATACAGCATTTGAACGCAAGCTCCGTGAAACAAGCGTCACCAGCGATGACTAAGAACGAGTGAAATTTACAACGAGCTGAACTTGATCAAAGACATACTGATTTGATAAAATGATCTCGACGAAGTCTCTTTCACCAAAGCTATCAAGGCTCAGTAGAGCCAATTGAACGCTATGATCTGGATATGTTTGCGGATGGCGTGTCCTTCGCTCTCTTTCAGAGTTAGTCATTTATCAAATTTGCGTCAATATCCCGATAAGATACCTGCTAACGCAGTCGAATTTGCGGCTTAGCGCATAGCTGACTACAATTGTCAGGATGCTAAGGAAAATTAAAACGTGGTATGACACTCGAACACGTGAATACATTGCTGCAAAAGCAAAGCATCAGTGCACCGCAAGGTACCTAGCCAATACCTAAGCCCTCGACTTTTTTCTAATGGTTTATCGACCAGATTCTATATTTTGCCATCAGAGTAATTTTGAATAGATATAGCAATGTTAGGACGAGATAGACAACATAAATAAGTTCCCACTGCTTCTTTTACCATCAAAACAACAGGTTGTCAGCCGCAACCAATGCATCTTTCACTACAACGTCCATGGTTACGAAGGCAAAAAAAGGATACCGAAGTGCTCTCAGAAAGTGGTAACTGTTGCGACTGGAAGTCTAACATGAGAATGATTTGGTCAATAAGGATCTTCTGGTGCATGTCATGGCCGTCAAGGACAACATTAAGGAGGTGTGGCTTGTGATCGATCCCAAGGTATTTGGCATTGAGATTTAAGTTCCGACTTAGATATGGTTGGTCACGAGTGTCACGGAGTCATGGGAAACGCTACGAGATTTCTACAATGGCGCAACACTGCACAATCGCGTGACGATGAAGCGAAATCTTCACGTCTTCAACATAAATAGTGGTATTAGCGTGATCAAGGTTCTGGACTCTTTTGATTAGCAAGCAGTTGGCCTACCAACAATGAAAGAGCCAATTGACGCGTTGTGCCAGCTGGTGGTAATTCTCAGTTGAGTTACGTCGGAAAATGACTCGATCTAATCGGTTGTGGGAAATGCAAAGAAAATTGCATTGATAGAAGTGAAAAGGAAGCTACTCAGAGAACTACTCAAAGAACTACTCAAAGAACTACTTAAAGAAGCTGCACATAACGGAGGCTATAAAGAAAGCGTTCCGCGTAAATGAGAATGCTGAAAGATGAAAAATCGGACGAGGAAACGTTTGAAAAGGTGACGATCCACACATATCGGCGGACTGAGAGTCAAGTGTCTTGATTGTGACCAAGTTTGCCATGTGAAGGGACAGTGAAAGGCCAGACGACGTATCTGCATTGGTGACGCGGTATTTGCAGTGGGCGAAGGACGATCGGCAAGGTGGCTTATCGCCAGCCATCTCACACAGGAATGACTTGTTTGAATACAAGGACCTTAAGATATACGTTGAAGGAACAAATGCAAATGGCAAAAAGATACTCGTTAGAGCAGTCGGCAAAGTGAAACTGACCGGTCTGGGTAGAATGAGAATTTGCATTTTTGACGTTTTATATATCCGAAGCTTGCTGTTGGTTGACAAGCTTGCAGAACGCGGTATGAGTGTCGAGTTTTCGCATTCTTCGTGTGTTATCTAAAACAAACAAAAGGCGACTGCATGGGGTTTAAGCATCGATGAAGCGTACATGCTCAATTGGAAACAGGAAAGAGTATATCACGCGGAGTATTTCGGGAATGACATCGAGTAGAATCGTTGTCATGCTCGCATTGGACACAGATATCAAAATTCTTTACTCAAGACAAAGCCCTCTACTAGAGGCACAAAGATGATCAAGAAAAAACAGAAATATAGTGTGCCGGGTGCTTGAAGGGCGAGCAGACCTTCACGGCATTTCCCTCACGTTCGATCACAAAGGCGACAAGTGTTCTGGCGCACACATATAGAAAGTGTCCAACGCAAATTTCGTCGCAAGGAGGGTGCGAAATGTATCTTTAAATTTGATGTTTAATTTTAAGGGTATGTTGCAAATTTGTTTCCCATTCAAGGAAATGTAGACTCTTCGCGAAATTAATGGGGTGTACGAATCAAATGCTTGAAATTTGATAATATTTGTGAATTTGTGAATTAAAAACGGTTGACATAAGTCGTCGGAGCGGCAGAGTTTCCCAACGTTCCGTTCAATATAAACTCCAGCAAATGAGGTGGCGGAGCGCTTGAACAAGACTAATATTAAAAAATCCGCTGTATGCTTTTCTAAAAAACAATTCTACTGACACACGCCCGGGGAGTTGACTTTCGAGATAATACTTCGGCTGGATACCTTACGCGTGTCCGGTTGCAGGGTTACGCTCATGTTAACGATGCAAAGCAAATGAAATTTGAACCCAAGAGTTTCAAATGCATGTTTCGGCTATGCGGACAGTGTCAATGGTTATCGCGTGTTCTGACTAGAAGGAAGAAAGTGACCCGCATTACGATGTTGGAATAGCGTTAAGTAGGTGGCATTGACAAC